CCCGACGTGAGTGAGTGCCCCGACCTGAGCGAGGGCCCCGACCTGAACGAGGGCCCCGACCTGAGCGAGGGCCCCGACGTGAGTGAGTGCCCCGACCTGAGCGTGGGCCCCGACCTGAGTGAGTGCCCCGACCTGAGCGAGGGCCCCGACCTGAACGAGGGCCCCGACCTGAGCGAGGGCCCCGACCTGAACGAGGGCCCCGACCTGAGCGAGGGCCCCGACCTGAGCGAGGGCTCATCCAGTGGTGATACTTTTTAACCTTTCTGATTGTCTGTTTTCTGCTTCCATCTGCCCTGAGAGCATAGCACTCAAAGTAAGGTGGTGCTCTTATCATTCCAAACACCCTGACAGCTGTCATGATCATTCACTCACTGGGCAGCAGGAATGTGATGGTTAAGGGTCCGGATCTGCGTGTGAACCTCTTAGCGCAGAGATCCTCCCCAGCTGAGCAGAGAGCTGCCTCACCTTGCACTGGTTCAGAATGACAATGCCAGAATTCTTGTAGTTCTTCTTCTTGATTTTGTACTTGGGGTTTATACATTCCCACTGCATCTAAGCCAAAAAGAACAGAGCAGAAAGATGAGCTTTTTCAGCAAGTTTGTGATTTGACTAAATCCCTTCCAAAGAGGTTTAACAGTCACCTGTTTGGATAAATTTGGGGTGACGCTCCCCACAAAGGCAGGGACAACTTAGCTCAGAACGATGAAAGATCATCACTGCTGCGGGGGACATTGACAGTGACAGGCTAATCCAGCTGTCACTGCCTGCTGACCTGAGATACGGTTTTGGAGCTTCTCTGTCTCGCCTTGATGAGCAGCCGTGGGAGAATAACAAGCAAATAGCGCAGAGCAGCAAACGGCGGCATTACTGCAGCACAGAAAGACCCTGAGAAGTATGACTTCAGCAGAGTGATGAACCCTGTAAGTGTCCGTTCCCTCTCGCCAGCTTACACTGCCCTTATCGCTGCACTCCTACGCAGGGTCGGGTTGACCTTTAACCTTTGTGTACAGCGAACCACACCATCTGTTCCATGTCTTCTGTTGCATGTGAGACCTGTTCCTGCCTCTTCATTGGGTGCAGGCTTGACTCCCTCGCCTGTCTCCTGACAAGCCCCCCCCCCCCGGTGGGTTTCGTAGTGACATAAGGTGCTTGCAATGGAACCAATGTTTGATAACAGGGTATCTCCAGTGACATACGTGCAGGTTCCACCCAAACATGACATGCAGGAGGTTTTCCCCTCAAACGAGGGTTTTGTGGTGTATATTCTGAGAGAGAACCTGTGGAACATACAGAGAGACAGGCTTTCCCAATCAGACATTCATTCAGATAGTTACCTGAACTAATTTCATTGCCCATGACATATGGAAATCAAAGCACTAAACTAAGCATTAAACTAAGCATTGAAAAATGACTCAGCACCACTCACACATTCACCCCTCACCTGTTTTCCATCCATGGCTCCTCGCATCTCTTTAAAATTTGTCTGGAACTCTCCGATGAAGTCGTGCTTTCCATTGGAATCCCAGTCCCATACTGTACACTGAAACGGAGAGTGTGGGGGATGCAGCTCAGCTTCTCTGCTAGGGGTAATATGGGCCGGACAGCTTGATTGCTCACTTTTTCCCCTGTAGGCTTTTCGGATCAATACAACAGTCAGTTGAATTCATTGAGCCACTTCAAATGTACGGCTCTCAGCTGGGCCACAGCACCAACCAGGACATGTCATTCATTTAGAAATCAGATGTGTGTCTTTCATGTTCTCCTCCCTGATTGGCCAGCAGATGTCGCTGGCCATCCTGATTTTGTTCCCTAGCCTTTCATTTGTATCAGTTTTCTAGTTCCTGTGTTTTGTGATTTGTGTTCGGTTTTGGTTTCTTGCCTTGTGCCTTGGTTGTGTTTTACCCGTCTTTGTTATTCCCCTAGTGTTAGATTCTGTTTCTTAGTTTCTTTGTTAGTTGAGTTCCCGGTTTGATCGCCCAGTTCCCTGATTTAATTATTAGTTTCACCTGTTGCCTGTTTTCTTGTGCCAGTCCTTGTGTGCTACCTGATTGCTCATTGTCCTGCACCCGCCCTGATTGGCTAACTGTTTCATGTCTCACTCCTCTTGTGTCATTAACCAGTTTGGTAGTATATTTAGGTTCCTGCCTTGGTTCAGTTCCTCAGTGTGTCATTGTTGTATTTCATGTATTTTGGAATGTGTATTTCAAAAAGTACCCTTTGTTTATTATTTGTACCTTGTTCCCTGCCTGCTCCTTGTTGCCCTGTTCCCTGGACTTTATTCCCTTAACCCTCTGTAGTTAGTCCTGGTTTTTTCCTATTTCGCTTTTGACTCCTCGTGGTCCGTTTTCTTTTGTAGTGCTCCCTGTGTTTTCTGTTCTGTTAATAAACCCTCATGTTCCCATCAGCCACCAGTGGATCATCCACCTTTTCCTGCCTGCATGATTCCTCGCCCCCGTGCCAGAACCTCCCGAGTCCGTGATAATGTGACTGAAATTATTACAGATAACAGCCAACGGTGACCAGATAATCCATGTCAGGGAGGACACTTTGAGCTACTTCAGGTTTTACAAACTACTTTCAAATAGAAAGGCTCCTGTGCTCGGCTAAATAGTTCAGCTCTTCTTGTGCTTTGACTGGTTTGTTTCCTTGACTGAAAGACTCATCCAGCTGTTTCACAATAGCATTAGTGACACATGCATGATTATAGGAGACTGACCAATCAGCACACAGCAAGAACTCAGCACTCAAGTAAAATCCAGGTCCTTCTCATTGAAATGGTAATTTAAAATTCCTGTCCAAGCTCCGAGTGTCCTCCCTGACATGGATTATCTGGTCACCCTAATAACAGCATACTGCAAAGAGAACAGATGAGAACAAACAGGTTATCACACATGAGAAGAGAGTGAGATTACAAGAGAGGCCAAACACATGGATTTGGTCAGACTATTACTGATAATTACAGAGAGAAAATTGCAGATCATGAAAAACAAATTTGTGGCCTTCATACCATTCATACTGAAAAGCGGCAACAGAATGCAATTGCATTTGAGCAATAATGCATGAAACTTCAGTCAGAAAAAGTTTGTGAGTTACGGGAGCATTGAGGACCTTGGGAAGACCCCCAAGAAGGACCTACGGAGATGCCTTAGGCAATGCAAGGTCCTTCACAAGTGACTTTGGACTTCAAACACAGCACCCCCTAGTGGGGACTCAGGCATGCACTACAGAGGAGACAGGACCACCCAACTATCACCACCAGACACCCGCTGCCCCTTCAGTGCTGCTGCTGTGACCCACTATCTGGAGAAAGAAGAGTGTGAAAATCACTGGAGTGAGACCTGGGTTCAGACTACGGACAAGGCAGTGCTGCACCCTAAGTCCCTCTGTTCAGCTCCTCTTAGCCTCTTTCCATCTGTCTAACTCCCCACACAGGAGGGTAAAAGTATTTCAGAGTGTGTGGTTAAATAGGGAAAGTGGGGCTTTTATATTTAATCAGAATGAAATTGATGCTAGCCTACATTTCGGTATGCTATTCCACTTTTTTTCAGCCAAGGCAGAAGGCAAATTGCCCCCATTAGGATGTGGGGTTTGAGATATTTATGAAGCACACACAGACTGCTACATGTGACACGATAATGGACTACAGTCAGCAGAGCCACATACAGACTTTTTTTTGGGGGGGGGGGGGGGGGGGCAGGTTGCATAGGGCTAAGGTGAGCAATGAGGGGGGGATAAAAAACAGGCATTTTCAGTCACCTAGTCTAAAGCCCCCCCAGCCCCCACTTCCATAACAGTGCTCAGACACAGTAGTCTACACAGCCAGTTACTGCATAGCCAGTTACTACACAGCCAGTTACTCTTTTGTTAGCGCATAGCCAGTGCACAAGGTCATGTTTCAAACTGAAAAGCAGCAACAGAATGCAACTGAATTTAACAATACTATAAAAACATGTAAAAGACATAAATGTGACAGTCTGCACTGCACTGTGTCTTTCACGTCCCTCTGTTAGGGCCCTGGGAGTATGTGTCATCGTGTCACTGTCTGACCACCCCATGCCGGATATATTTTCCTGACCCTGACTATCCGTCTGAGGCCCTGGGACTGCCTGCTTTCTGTGGCACATTCCGGAATGCTGTCAGCTCTCCATCGACCCGTGCTTCACTAAGAGGGCTCGCCACCCTCGCCCATGGCCCAAGGAGGAAACGTAAAGCTCATGGTATCACTTTTTTTTTTTTTTAAACTAATTTTTCACTGTGAATGTGGTGCAGTGGTGAGCACTGTTGCCTCACACGTCTGGGCCCAGGGTTCCTGACTGCTCCATGGTTCTGATGGGTTGGTACCCCATCTGGGTTTGTTCCCTGCCTTGTGCCCGTGCGATGGGTTGGTACCCCATCTGGGTTTGTTCCCTGCCTTGTGCCCTGCGATGGGTTGGTACCCCATCTGGGTTTGTTCCCTGCCTTGTGCCCTGCGATGGGTTGGTACCCCATCTGGGTTTGTTCCCTGCCTTGTGCCCTGCGATGGGTTGGTACCCC